TGGAGGTAGTCGCGCTACCGGTCGCTACTTTGGACGCAGTGGTACTACCATTGAGTGCTCCTTGGAACGCTTTCGCTACTGGCACTAATTCAGTTCCACTAAAGAAGCATCAGTAGAGAGCAACGGCATCTCTGTTCAGCGACGTACAAGGCAATCGATTGGAACAAGCCAATGATATCATTTTTGTCTGTATGCAACACATCTGGATACTACGAGAGGTATTAGTAAGAAGATGAGAGGGAAAGAGTCACGCTACCGATTGGAGCTTCCCAGTCGCATGCGCCCAACCAAGGTCCTTGTCTTGATCTATTATTGGGGCAACGACAACTGTAAACCCTTCGAAACCAGCGCGCTCAAGACGAACAAGCTAAGTAATAAGGAATGTGAGCAGTGGTCTGCAGATAAAGGAAGACAAGCATACCGAGGCCTTGCAGTCTTTGGTAAGCCGATTGAAATTTGCCCGTCGCGACTGCTGCGTGGGTTGTTGAACGTTGCTGGCGAGATACGTGTGAAGAATGTGTGTCCCATTGCTACCATGCTCAGCACAGAAAGCATCATACGCGCAGCTAACTTCCGCCTGTGACATATCAAAGTCTCCATCGATTGTGCACGTTGGATCAACTGGGTCTTCAATTTGAGGCGGACTTAAGTTGGGATCGATGCGGCACATTTCACGGAGGCGATGTTCTGGGTCGGCGATGAAAGTCTGATAGATATTCCAATTATTTGGTGAGCGAGATGGCGTTCCATCGAGCATTTTGACGATGATGTCCTGGATGTGCGTGGGCTCGAGCCCAGTTTCTTTGGAAGCCTCGGTAATGAGTTCTTGGAATTGAGTGAACACAGACGCGATGATATCCGCCTGCTTCTTCGAGCGAGCACCTTTGGGCTTTTTTTATGGGAGATGGGAATGCTGCTGCTTCCATTCAGAAGGTGGTGGTGGTAGCATCACCTCCTGGAAGCCTCCTTGCGCACGAAACTCCTCCATTGTGCCATGAAAATGAGTGGGGAGGATTGGTTGGATACGAGCAGCGTCTGGTGTCAATGGCTCAGACACTGCGCGCAGCGGAGTGATGGGAGAACGTTGATATGGTGGGTTGGCCCAATGAACGGAGCGGATGGGTGGTGCAGGTGGTGCAGGTGGTGCAGGTGGTGCGGGCAGCGTGGGCAGTGCAATTGGTGTATGCGTTGCAGGCGGTCCAGGCAGCGCTGGAGCAGGTTGAGGGCTTGACGACTCCGAAGTCAGCGGAGACCCGTTTCCAACGATTTGTGGTGACGAAAACGATTGCGGCAAGTGCTGCGATGATAGTTTGATGATGGTGGTAGCACAGCAGGTTTTTGATGGAGGCCTTGTTGGAGGCCATGGCGAGCATTCTTGAAAGTAAGAGCAGCAGCGCTATGAGTACCGCGCTCAGAAAGCTGTATTTTGGATCGCAAACGAGTATGGCGTTCATCTTCGGGTGACAATGGTGGCAGGTCTCCACAGCCACCTGCTTCCTGATCATCGTCGTTGTCGTATTCAAGCTCGTCAATATCCTGTTGTTTGTTGAAGAATAAGGGACGAGGTCCCAAATCGACAAACGATTCATCGAGAAACGGGTCTTGTTCATCTCTTCCGTAGCCACCGCCTTGCTGCTCGAAATTCCACCCGGCATGCAGGCCAATATTAGCATTCGTAGCAATCGTCGGAGTTTGCTCGATGGTGTCGATATGAGGAATGTCAGGAAGGGGGCCGGCCCAGGCCCACGTGACGGTCTCCTGCCAGTCTGACAAGTGTGGGAAAGCTGGTTCAACCCCCCTTACCCGGGGGATTGGCGACCAGGCAGAGCAGGTGGTGCCTCTGCAATAGGAAGCAGGGTAGGGACGACTCGGGGCAACTCGGGACGCCCCGCTGTCACATCGGGTGACGGCGGCGTCACAGGATACGCGTAGTCGCCTAGAGTATCCTACCCCTGCTGAAGGGAACAAGTCCGTAGTCAAAGGGTGCTGCCCAGGAGAGGCTCTATCAGTGCCCAAGGCATAGGGCAAGACATAGCCTTAGCCAGTTGAAGAAGTCGTTCGGGCGGGGCGTGACGTCACGCGGTCACGCCCGACGGTTCAGGGGGTCGCGGGGGTCGCCCCGGCAACAGGGGCTGCGGGCCCGAGACCCCTGGAGCGCTTGAGGAGGTTTGCCAGTCCAAGGGGTGACTCATCTCCTAAACTGGAGGAGTGAGCTGCTGGGGCTTCCGGAGGCCGCGCAACGGCCCGGTGTGACGCACCCTCCCATCGCCCCGTACCAGGGGGACCCACGGTTTGAGGCCAGAGACCAAGCAGGAAGTGACTAGGACAAGGAGTGAACATAAGAGACAAGAGCCTGGGCTGTCCAGCCCAACCAAGGGCTCAGGTCAATGAGGCAAGCGAGCCTGGAGCGTCAGGGGTTGCCTGGACACCCCTTGCATGGGGATTCGTCGCAGCAACCCCGCTTGAAGGGACCAGGCCGGAGTAGGGTTCAAGGAAAGAGACTTCAATGCTAAACCTAAGGTACAGGAGTAATACTCTAGTCTTTATATACTGTGGGCGCTAGGGGCCGATCGGGCCCGCTGAGGGTCGATCGGAGTGGAGCAGGGGATGTCTCTGGTCGTCCCTGGTCGCTCCGCTAGGAGCCCAGGGACCATTCCACTGGAAAGGAGCCATGCCAATGTCGACACTAAGGAGTGTTTGACAATGCAACAGTAAGGAGCTCCCTCCTGGGCCCTGTGGTTGTCTAGGGCCGATTGGGCCCGCTGTCAAGGGCGTCCGGCGGCGCATCATGATCCCTGATGGCGGGTCATGATGGCTTGATGGCTGACTAAAGCGCGATCCGTGATTATGTCCCTTCTCTGGGATATTAGTGTTGTTGCTCATTGCTTTGAGCTTGTGAATTATGAGGGCTTGTCAAGCCCTAGGGCTCTAAGGGTGGTGAGGGCCCGATGGGCCGTATAGGGCCCGTCGGCCCGACCCGAACCCTGACAAGGAAGACTGACGTCGCCGGCTTCAGTCAGTTTGGGAACATAATAGTTCAGGTCCGAGATGAAATTGTGATTGAGAGATGGGATTCCACTGAAGGCTTGGCTGTCGAGACGAGCCACGTCCTGATCTCCTAGGATATCGGAGTATGACTGTTGGCTTGAAGGAGTAAGATGAAGCTCCTTGTTATACGGAGGAGTAGGAGTTTCTGGGCGCTGAGGATATGCCATTTTGATCTTGTCTAACACCATGTCAGTATTGAAAGACTGTAGAAGACCTTGCTCACCGTTGTCGAGTCTTTTGATGAGAGATAAGCGAGTAGCACCAGACAGCAGACAGGAAAAGATGTCTTCTGGTGGGTTGTCAGCACGCCGCCCAATACATAAGTAAGGCTTGGGCGCTCGCTCACCAGTGTCGAGCTTTTTGATGGTGAATGTGCGAGAAGCACCGGAAAGCGGATAGAGAAGAACGTGAACAACGTCTTCTGGCTGTTGTCAGCACACAACCCAGACCTAATATAGAATTGAAAACAACATACCTGGAGCAGATTTTGTAGCGTCTTGCAAACAAGCGCTGTTGAGGAGACAACACAGAAGGGAGAGTAGAAGGACCTGTTGACAACGTCTGAGAAACAGCTCAGGGGATGCACATGTATGTACTCACGAGGATTAATCGAGCCCAATAGTGGTTGCTGGCTTGAGAAGGAGCAGGAGGTGATGAATACTGAGGACGGTGGTGGTGGTAGTAAAAAAAAAGGGCACGTGGATGAAACGCGCCACTGCCCAGTTTTGCATAAGCTGAAGAGGTTTGGGGAGCATCAGCAGCATTGGTAGCTGTTAGATAGCATTCATAGCATTGCCGCCGCCGCCGCCACCCATGAGTTGGAGTCAAAGTGATGTGTCACACTGTGACAGTAGCAAGCCGCCTCATCTTCAGTTAAATCTCGCTTCATGATCTTCTTCGTTTTCTAATGTCTTCTTCTTCAAGAAGCAATGACCTGGATATATTTTCACCTCTTCTATGACTGTCCGATCCCAAGGTAAGCACACTTTATAATTTTCAAGCTGGATTGTGAAATGGTCGTCTTCGCAGAGCTTCCTCCTGCTCCCAGACAAAAACTCGCATCATCTCATTTCACATCGGTCTCGCTATCTACTCAGGGAAAAATTCGACAAAATATGGCGTTATTTTCAAGGTATGTGTCCGTTCATACCTCTACAAGTCCGCTATCCATTCAACTGGATTGGCATGCATGGACAAGGAATGCATTGAGTGACGTTACTGACTGCATTACAAGCTTTCGTCCTACTATCACTTCCTCCATGACTCGTCTCAAGCTATATCATACTGATGAAGAACGAGCCGAAGCGCGAAGGCGTTATAATCAAACATATAACCAGAGTAAACGGTGGGTTGCTTTCTGAAAGGTATCTACTCCAAACTCATCAATATTTAGTGGTAAATCCGTTCGAGCGGAGCAAAATGTACTCAGAAACAAGCGCAAAGTTGCGCTCTGTTCCATCTCGCGGCTGCCAGCCCTCCCCGACCATTTAGTCGCATTCGCTCGTTGCCCTCTTCCGGAACACAATATCCTGTTTCAAGATCTTCTGGCATCTCCAATCAGTCCGGGCGAATCTGCGCTTGCCATCTGGAAACGAGTCCCTCCATTTAACGTTGACGAGGAGGCACTTGGTCTGGATCATGCTCAAATCAATGAGCTTTCCATCATCCTTCACGCAGTGCGGCAGCGCAACCAGTGGACACGCGATCTCTATCTGAAGGCGGACATTGCACAATCAGGCCGCAAGAAGACCGTCGATAAACTGCGCACAGAGCTCAAGACGCGCATTGACACATGGAAACAGGCTTATTCCGTATCGTACAATTCCCTCGAGCAGCCCTGTAGCTTCGAGATGTGGAAGCATTACCTCCAATGGGAGGCTCGTAACATATTTCATCTGTACTACTTAAAGTTTCTGTAGACTCAAAGTTTGAATACAACTCGTGAAATGCTTTCAATTAGAGAGAACCATATGTGCGAAGAGCTGTCTAATATAGGCCATTTCCGCCTCGACAATATTCACCACGCTAAAACCTCGTAGAACTGCTGCGATCATGCATATAACCCATAGGCCACAATCATACCCGTTGGTTTGCTGAGATGCACCCTTTATACTAGTGAGTAGATCAAATATGCAAAGCAGGAGGGCACACCTCTTGGAATAAGGGATGCACAAGCCACGGCCGCTTCGAGTGGATAGAGGGGATGGGGTGGCCATTCGCAATTGCTAGCTTAGTCATTTGAGCGAGAAGTTTCATGATATCCTGCTATGTTGTCAGAGGATAGTTGCATTGCAAAGCGCTACTTACCTCGAGGTCGGAATCCCAGCCAGCAGCATCTGCGAAACTATCGATGAACAATAGCTGTTCCTGTTTTGATGCGATCGCGAATACCCAGTGTTGTTGCTGCTGTTGATGAATCGGAATAAGCCAGAGATCCTTCTCCCAGTAGACTGTTGGCGCGAGATGATGCCAAAGAACGGAGTCGTCCGCGCCGTATTGCACTCGATGCAGATCTAGCGTGCTCAGGAGTGCACAGGAGCTGGTCGGAGACATGAAGTTTTGCATAATGATGGCTGCAACACCGTTGAGGCAAAAGTTGTTCAGCCATTGTTTGCGGTGCAAGAGGCGATCGAGGTCTGTTGAGTCGATAAAATGCTTGCGGCCCGTTATGTCTATGATGGTGCATGAAGTGTTGGCACTTCGTTGACCGGGATGTTGATTAACATAGCTTTGCAAGCACTGGAAAAGCGACGTGTCAACTAGCTGGGGAGGCTACCAAAGAAAGATCAGCGAAGAAAATATGGTAGAACAGATAACTGACCGATTCGTCGCAATACTTAAATGTGTAGATGATCTCCGCTCCCTCGGGAGAATCATCTCCGCCTTCTTCTTCTTCGAGCACTAGTGTCTCCTGAGTATCGGCCGTACCATCCACCAGCATCTCCAGATCAGGCTCTAGAGCCATTTCGTCTTGAGGAGAGTCGAACGGCGATTCCTCAGCATCTTGATCAAGCTCATCCGATGGTTGAAGCTCAACCTGGACAGGGACAGGAAGAGCATCCTGATGGCTTGTCGGAGCTACCAGTGTTGGTATGTCGAGAGTGCGATTACCAATAGAGGCGCTTGTCAAGCCTCTTGCCCAGGAAGCTTTTAGAATAGCCAAATACTCCCGCCGCTCTCGAAGAGGCAATTGTACGAGAGCATCTGTATAAGACAAGAAGACTCAGAGCAGCAGGAAGCATAAATTGAGCCTTACCTTGATAATGCTCCAAAGCATATGTAACAACTCGGACCTCGCTCTCTAACCACTGATGCAGATTGTCCTTCTCCATCTTCAATCGCATTGCCTCCTCTCGGCACCGATCAAGGGTGTGGAGACAACGGATACCCTGGCGGACATCCTCGTCATCGAGCCATCGCGGCGGGCGTCCTTCTGTTGGCGTAATCCAAACATCTTCATGCAAAGATTCGTCGGCTCGCAGGGCACTGAGTTGGATGGGAAGTGGTTGCGGAACTGGAATGAGACAGTCAGATGGTCGTAGCAGCTCAAATTCGAGCAATATGTGTTGAATTTCTTGAGGGCCTTGATGAGCGCTGGTTGGCGCTTGGTGATAGTAGAGCGAGTTGCTTGGTACATTTTGGTTCCTGGAGATGAACAATGAGTCAATAGCTTAATTGATCAAGTGGAAGCGTACCTAATGGCTCGCGTCGACCTGAGACAGCTTGATCCAGTGTCTCCCATTCCTGAAAGGAGCCGATTGCCTTCTTGCGGATGCTAATTTTCAGATCGCGCATCGTAATGAGAAGTCGCGCAAGCTCTGGGGAGAGTCCCTGGAGTGCTGGATAGATGCCAGGAATGTTGAGTGACGCATCCAGCTCCTCAGCTTGCCTTTGCAGCTCCACTTGTGTTGCCTCGAGCTTGGTTAACAACTTGCGTGAGTTGCTTCCAGGAGCTCTGTTGGGTATTGATTGTCGCACATCCTCAATTGATTTCTCCACCGTGTCAATTTGGGCTTGAAGTGTGATAACCTTGTCTAATTCGCGACACAAACGCTTTGGAGCATCTACAGCTTGCTTCAGAATCAAATAGGAGCAAAAAGTAGTGCTACTTACGTCTTCGCGCCGAAAGTTGCGCTGCCTTTTGCTCCGCCCACTCGACTCGGAGCTCGGTGACTGGAACACCGCATCGCCGTAGGGTAGCTACAGCAGTCTTGTATTTGGAGACTAGGTTTTTGGAATCTTGTCGAATGATCCAGGCGCTTAGGTTATAGAAGCCATCCTCGTTGACGAAGGCAGCATACTGGTCAATTGTCCATATACGCCGTGAATTCTAGATTGCGTGAGTTTAGACACAATATCTCAAGAAAACTACATACCCATTGTCCACGCGTGATTGGAATAAGCTTGCGAATACGGGACCATAGTCGTTCAATACATTCATTATCGGTCAATCCCATTCCGACAACCATTCGTGGATTGTACAAGAGTTGACACGCCCATTCATGCCCATAAGCGTGCATTGCATTCAATACGAATGCTACCCGCTGCCGGACTCCGGGCCCAAGGATATCATACTATGTCCAAACGATGAGCTCTTCTTGTGGTCAATCAATGCAAGGGAAGGGGTGCTCACCAAATTCAGTGTCCGATCAACTACACAACCCACATCGTAAGCTTGCCAGATGGTCGCTACCAAGGGGAGGTGAGAGAGCACTTCCTCGAGAAGGGCAACAATATAGTGATGTTGTTCGCCAGGCGTGTCGATGTTGCACATGAAGATCACCTGAGAGTGTCGACAGGTCAGCGCAAAGATGCCACTTGCATCATATCGCTTGGGATCTGCCACCCGCTTCTTCTCGTTGGCAGCATTCCAGTTCTCCGCACATCTGTCATCTGCTGGTGCCGGTCGCCTCCGCCTTGCTTCATCCATCCGACGTTTGACCACATCGACCTTTCTCTTTGCCAATGAAGTACTTTGGTTGATATCCTGTCGGACCATCGCCAGCGGAGCGCAGATGACGATAACTAAAACAAGCATCTCCGGCGAGCTGGATGTCGCCACCACTAGCGACCAGGTCAGCGCTGAAGAAGCAAACCAGTTGAATACTTGAATACATACCTACTGAGTGGACGACCCCAGTCCGTGCTGCTGAAGCACAAGGGGCAGCGCTCCCGGAGAATCCTGTCCGCCTGACCAGTTTGAAGCGTTACTTGAGGGTTGTTGTTGTTGTTGTTGTCGACGACTGGAGTTGGTGTCGCAGAGCTATCGTCGGCAGCTTCGTTAAAGACTGATGAGGAGATGCTACCCATTGATGCCGAGTGATCGATGTCGCTTTGAGTAGCATCTTGAGTAACGCTTGTGTTTTGAGTAGCGCTTGCTATGTTATCCTCCGCAGCGGCCAGTACCGCATTGACGCGAGATTGAAGGCGGTCTCGGAGATTGCTTGACCATAACACGGCTTGAGTCAAGCTCTGCCGAAAAGGATCTGAGGCATGGGCACCCTCCTGCTATAAGTGATATAGTCAGCAGTAGTAACCAGGCAAGTCAATCACATACCTTCGTTGAGAGAACATGATATCCACGACGTTCGTAAACGGTACGAAGGGCGTGAGCCAAGGCCGTGATTGCATCGCATGATCATTCGAATACAGCACGGTAGAGCTCGAGAAGATCGATGGAGATGCCTATGCGAGGCCGTCTTGGTGACGAGGGGAAAACTCCATGTTGGACAAGAATTGCGCCGAGAGGCCTGCAGTAACATGTGGAGATGGACACGGTTTGCATATCTGGAGCTTTTTGAGTACCCTGCCGTTGTCATATTGAGAGAACGTACGTGTTGGATAAAGACATTGGACAGTGCTATGGGTGAGCGAAGTACAACCAGATTCACAGGCATAGTGGACGGAAGGGGGAATATGGGAGGGTGGAGAAGCATATGTTGCGGTTCGAAATGTCGTCCATGGCGCTTCCAAGGCATGCACCTAGTAGACTGAGCCGTGATTGTGCAACAGCTGGAGGATCCCGTTGAGGCAATGGAACGTGGATTGGTGCCGGGAATACCATCTCCTCTGCAACATCAAGCTCCTCGTCCTCCCATTCCATCGATTCCACCGCGTCTGACTGAGGCATGGGACTCTCATGGGTTTTAGTCGGGGTTTCGCCATTCAGAAGGGCAGCCAATTTGGAGCGCAGAGCAGCGCTACGCATCGCTTGATCTTTGGTAGGCTTCACAAGACGCTTCATACGACCCGCACGCGGCCGTAGGGGACTGACATGGTATTTGCCCGCGCCACTAGTACTGGCGCGTTCATGCTGATTGGAAGCGCGGTGGTTTGGGAGGCCTCTGCTCGGCGCCATGGAAGCTCTTGTTGAAAGAAGTGTCACAGCATTTTCGGATCAAGCACGATAACGTGACGCGAAGCACTCTTAGATCATTCAAGGTAGGTGGTTTAATTACTTACAAAAAAGTATACCTAACAGGTCTTACGGTATGGTAGAAGGTAGCTCACCGGGGTGGTCTTCAGCTGGAACATAAAATGAGAATTGTGCGAGTTATGATCGGCCCGATGGGACACAACCAATCGCACAATATCCTTCCGACTCTCCTGCTAGGCTAAGTGGACTTCACCAGCAAGCGAGATGACCGAACTGCAAGGCAGCATAAGCAGGGCCACTTACGGCCAGAGCAGAAGACATACGCACCAGTCCCTTTCGGCCAGCATTCCTCCATGAAGAATGGTATCAATGAGCGCTTCAGCGGTGAGCTCGGGCGGTTTGGAGGAAGGGTTGGTGGTGGCCATGATCGTAGCCTGGATTTTGTACTGGGTGAGGAGGGTGCGGATGGTGAAGGCCCAAACGGGTGAGAGCAGGTTGATGACAATGCTCTTGAGTTCGGTGTCTGCCATGACCCCGCCGATGCCGGCATAGTCCTGGAGAAGGCGCTTGAGCTCATCAAGCTTGGGACGAGGATCGTCTTCGCCATCAGCGCATTTGAGCGCGTGCATCCGAGTAACAATAGCCTGAGCGAAAATGTCGCTTTGCTTCTCGAATTGCTCGCAGAGAGTCGTCCAGCACTCGTGAGAAGTCGATTTGGTGAGGATGGAGACCTTGTGAGTCTCGTGAATCGTGGAATAGAGGATAGACCGGACTTTGGCCTTGCCGGTTTCGTAAACCTCCAAAGCATCCTCGTACTTTTCGACTTCAGCTTCGTGAGCAGCAATTGCCGCAGCGTTGGCGTTGGACGTAGGGTCGGCAGGTTTGGTAGGGATATAAGTACACGCAACACAGCAAATACCTTGGCAACATTTCGTCTCAGCTTCTCCCTCCGCAACCTCCCTCTGCAACCTCCGAAAAGCACCCAGGACCAGTACCAAAATGCTGCGAGTAGTTTCGTGGCGCTCGCCTGCTCCGAGTTGTGCCTGGAGTTCTCTCTAGGGCTCCAATTATTTAGTTTTCCTTTACATCTCCAGGTAAACTTCACGGAAATGGTAAGAAAACATTTAGTAAACATTTATTACCATTTAAAAACGGTTAAAAATGGTAATATAATAATATATCATGATCAACAATTTTATGGTACATCCTTGAGTTTATAAGGTTTATTCAACTGAAAGATGTTATTTTCTCACTTGTAATACTGTTCTAGATGGGCATGTAGGTCAAGATTCATTGTCTTTGACTTATTTGATGCCAGATCATGTGATGGATTCCTTCAAGAGGAAGCCTACAAATGCAACAATTATCCATATTCATGTGGAATGTATATCCTACACTAGTATGCATTTGGTAGCCAGACATATTCCTAGCAGTAGTATAGTTATGAGCTTGTCTGCTGTTGTTATTAGGGAATAACTATTTAAACCATTTGTTTTCATTTATTTACCATTTACATACCATGGTAAACTAAATGAAAATGAAAACGGTTATAACCGTGTATAAATGTTTGTACACGGAAATGGTTGGAGCCCTAGTTCTCTCACATTGCGTGCTAGTATGCCAGACACGTGATTTAACGTGCGTTGTGCAACTAAGCACCCACTGGAAGACGGTGACCCTGACTATCGTTTTCAAGTTCTAGGTTGCAATTCCTTCCTCTTCCTTCCTCAAGCATTTTTTTGCGTGCAATGACCACGTATATGTCTCTGTGTGCATGTACCCCGTGGCCCGCCGACTCTGCCTGATTGTCTTTCATCTTTTTCTGGCCCCGATTGGCTTTCGCAAATAAATTGGCAATGTTGAGGGCTACTTTTCGGATTTTGTCCTGGTAGTGCCGTGAACAGTGCGTAAACCTTCAAGTTGTCTTTCTCCTTATATCACACTGACGATTATTTTTTCTGGTTCTGTTTCCGTCCTTTCCCAACAACAACGCTTTGCTGAAGGGGCCCTTGTCACGACTCCAAATGCCCCCCCGAAGAACAATGCCAGGTTACCGAGGAGCTGCAATCCCATCTTCTTGGTATGTACACCAGCTTACACGCTACTTTCTGACTCTCAAGCTTCTCCGCCCAGCATTATTCCCTTCCTTCGCTATTCGCTTCGAGCCACTTGCGCGTCCCGGAGGAGACGGGGCCGGTCGACAGCGACACCGTCTATGGCTGCAACGAGCGGAGCTCCGTCGTCTCCTGTGCGGGCGGCCCCGGTTTCGGCACTGGGCAGGGTCCTCTGCAAGGACACGATTGTCGAGGCCGTTCTTGTAGGCAACCATTGTCTCGAGATAAGGTAGATGCCATCCATCATCAGTCAAGGTCACCTGATCCACCATATTGGGTGAACAAGACCAATTTTTTATGGATAAGGTTTTTACTCAAAATCTAGCTAGATATAGCCTATTACATCAAAAAATCATCATCATTGATACACATTTGATGATTTGGTCTCCGCACTGGACTTCCTACACTATGACCAGTTTAGTACCTTAGTCTATATCAATTTCTCTGGAATTTTGTACTCTGCATTGTAATATAGACCTCTACTGCTCCTCCAAAAATTGTGCAGATCCATAAAAAAATGCACTCAAAGCAATACATCTTCCCAATTTGGAGTGTCATGTGACCTTGACTGATGATGGATGGCATCTACCTTACAGGAGTGGGTGCAGCACGGTGGTCTTGACCTGGGTCGAGTTGAGCGGCGGGTGCGGGGGGGGGTCTTGACTTGCTCCAGTTTTTTCGTCTACCTGATACTCCTCGCTACTAATGTACCAATTGGACAAGCAGTGATAGAAATGGATCATATGTACTAGTAACGACGCTGTTGTGGAAGCAGGTCTGAAGATAAACCCCCATACAATACAGCTATCGAGCAGATTGTATAAACCAAATATAGAAAGCATGTTATTGACAAGCAGCAGTAGAAAATATATACATAGTGGATTCCAGAAGTATACTGACCTATTTCCTTCAATTAGGCCGGTCACGGTCACATCGGATTTTTGGCCGAAATATTTCGGCCGGTCACAGGTCACAGCCCATTCGTTTGGTCCCAAAACGTCCCGATTTGGACAAATTTCAAAGTTTTCGCGCCTTCGGGCGTGCTGAATTTCCTATTTAGGTAAGAGGTTACACAAAATTCGGCTTGGACATTTCGGCCAAACGGTCACGGGTCACAGGCCCGCTGAATTGAACGAAATGGGTCAGTAATCACGAAGTTTAATGTCAACTGCCTCCTTCTCCACGCGACCAAGGACCAGCTGTCAAGGACACTCGACAGGCCAGGAGGGACAGGGCAGTGAAATCCCAGCCTCTGTGTGTCAAAATTTATCATTGTCTGGCTAGAGCACTTGTCTAGGGTGCTGTGAGTAACACTGGGTGCAAACCCAATGGCGGCCTGTTAATGGGGGATCCAACAGCGGCCTTAGTGCAAACAAAGGTTTCTTTGTCTGCAACAAAGGAAAAAAATTTCCCTTCAAGCTGCCGTTGGACCCCCCATTGCCAACCGCCATTGGCATTGCCACCAGTGTAATTCCTGAGGAATTACTCACAGCTGTTTCGAAACCGGTTTCGAAACAGTGGTGTTTCGAAACTGTTTCGAAACCGGCCGGCTACCGGGACCGGACCGCTCCGTCGGCAGCCGGCCGAGGTGCCAACCAAGATTCAACGTCCCACATTGGCATACCGGTCCACGCCAAGGGGAGTTGGTGCCACAGCCGAGCTATTCCCATGGGGGAGGTGCCATTCTGGTGATGGTCGGCCACCCGGGCCATGACAACAGTCGCCGAAAGCCGAGGTCGGGCATCCCGGACAACCACGTGCCGGTTTCGAAACCGGGGCAACCCTCGGAACATTTCAAAACTCACACGTGTTTCGAAACC